AGCGGTCAATAGACAAATGACCTAAGTGAGAATACCATAAATAAAACTGACTCGACTGAGAATCTAATTGAAAAAAGGAAAGTACAACTGGAGAGATGGATAAAGGAAAATGCAAGCTTTCTACCACATACAGATCTCCAACTTTACGGCTAGTTCTAATCTTTAGACAACCGATCCTTCACACAATAGAAAGGGGAAAAAAATAACATCAAAACCAAAAACATCACGTTGGCTGATAGATAATAGGCTAACATATAGTTGAGGAACATAAATGATCGGTGCCTAAATGTATTCATTTAATCTTCTAATATACACTTTATTAGATTATTAATTTGTATTAATTTATAGTTTTGTGTGATTTTTGTGTATTTGTATACATTTTAGGTGTTTGTACCTATATTAATGTAAATTATACATTTTAGATATTTTATATATTAACATATTATCAAGTGCACAGTAAATTACTATGCACTTTACGAAATTTGCATCCAAAGTGGTAAAAAAAAGAGAAAGAGAAAGAGAAAGAAAAAGAAAAAAATAAAAACAAGCAAACAAACGAGGTGGTGGTGGCTAATCACCCCCACCCCTCAATTATATATTATTATATTATTTGTATCACTATGCTTGTTTTATTTGTAGGATTTTTCTCCTATAAAAGAAGAGGCAGAGAGCTCGAAAGGAAGAAGGAAGGGGGAGGGGAGCTCAATGGAGCGGAGGGATTCGGCCCATGGAATGAAAAGAGAAAGAAAAAAATAAAAAGAAATAGAAAGTAGGAGAGTTTATTTTGTAAATATTAGAGTATAATAATTTTTCTGTGTTATGGTAGAGATGAAACCATGACCAAATAATTGGGGTAAGTCGTATTTAGTATTTTTAGTTTAGATTTGATTTGGATACAATTGTATAACTTTTAGATATTTTTGTGTGATAAATGTTTTATTCAAATCATGTTATACAATGATTTTCATAGTTGTATATTAGATTTGTTAGACGAGTAATACCTAATAAGACAGGTCGTGCATTAACCATAGTTTAGTTTAGTGGTGATGGTCCGTGCTAAGCGAAAATGATTCATGGCTTTCTGATAATGACGATGCATTTATAATCAACTTACATCACAATATCCAAATCATTGATATTCTAAGGACTCAATACATTTAATTTTCACTCCAAATATTCGCAAACAACTATAAATTTCTAAATTAAATTCTTCATCATTAGTCCTTGTGGATCGACACCTGGTCTTAATCGCTATTCTACGGAGTAATTGTTTTTACCTGGTTTTAAATTAAATATTTTGGTGTGCAAGCAACCATATCAATTTTTGGTGTCGTTGCCGAGGACTAAAAATAGAATTATTTAATTTAGAGATTTATTTATAAACAAAAAAAATATAAAATAAAAAAATTGAGTTTAGTTTCTTTCTGTAGGAGAAATATAAACTTGAGAAAAAAAATGAAAAAAAAACTAAATATAAAATATAAAAAACTAAAAAGAATTGAATTTTTTTTTTTTTTTTGGATACCATGCTACCTAGCAGTATCAGGAACCGCAGTCAGTGCAGCTCTCCTCCGAGAAGATGGCTCAGTCCAACGACCAGTCTATTACATTAGCCGAGCTCTCAGGGGCGCGGAGCAGAACTACCCCTTGCTGGAAAAACTGTCCCTGGCCTTGGTCATTGCCTCTAGACGACTCCGCCCATACTTCCAAGCCCACTCCATAGTGGTCCTCACCGACCAGCCCCTGAAGAAAGTCATGCAGCAACCAGAACTCTCAGGCAGACTGATGCAGTGGTCCGTAGAACTCAGCCAGTTTGACATCTCTTATCGCCCTCGGACAGCAATCAAGGGGCAGGCTGTAGCTGACTTCATCATGGAGTTCACCAGGCCAACCCCAACCACCACACCTCTGCCCCTATCAGCTCCAACAGAGCCAGAAGATCCTCATTCTTGGACTCTCAATGTTGACGGGTCGTCCCGAAGAGAAGGAAGTGGTGCCGGCCTCATCCTCACCTCTCCTGAGGGCGGCCACTTCAAATGTGCCCTCCGTTTCCTGTTTAAAGTAACCAACAATGAAGCCGAGTACGAGGCACTAATAGCAGGACTCCACCTTGCCAAGGACATAGGGGTCAGCCACCTCCGAGTTTTCAGCGACTCCCAACTCGTCGTCTGTCAGATGATGGGGGACTTTGACGCCAAGGACGATACGATGCGAGCTTACAGAGACCTGGCACTCCCCCTTGCTTGCCTCTTTACTACCTTCCACATCAGGCATATTCCTCGGGCAGAAACTCCAAAGCAGATGAGATGGCTCAATTGGCTTCGGCTGACCATCCCACCCTCAGCCATGATGTCCGCGTTGAATATCTACACCACCCGGCCGTTTCACCCGATCTACAAGCCATACAGTGCATTCAAAATGAACCTATCCCTTGGGCGTCCGACATCCTCCTATTCTTGACCACAGGAGCACTCCCAGATGACCAGCTGCAGGCTTCCAAAGTCCGATCCCGCGCCTCCAATTACGTCCTTATCGACAATATATTGTACAAACGCAGCTTCTCCCGGCCATATCTACGGTGCCTCAATCCAGCACAAGCAACTTACGTAATGCAGGAGATCCATGAGGGGATTTGTGGCAATCACTCAGGAGGCAGGTCCCTTGCCCAGAAGATACTCCGTACTGGGTACTTTTGGCCAACTCTCAATCAGGATGCGACTGACTTCGTGCTCAAATGTGATAAATGTCAACGCTTCGCCAACATCCCTCACGCCCCTCCCACAGAGTTGATCACACTCTACAGCCCTTATCCGTTTGCCAAGTGGGGGATCGACCTGGTCGGTCCGCTTCCCACCGGTCGAGGTCAGACCAAGTTCGCGATCGTTGCTATTGATTACTTCACCAAATGGGTCGAGGCTGAACCCTTTGCCACAATCACCGAGCGGAACACCACCAGGTTTATCTGGCAATCGATCATTTGCCGATTTGGCATCCCTCAAGCCATCATCTCTGACAATGGCAAACAATTCGATAACGCGAAGTACAGAAAATTTTGTGCAGATCTCCAGATCCAACCGTGCTTCTCCTCTCCCGGTCACCCCCAAGCAAACGGCCAGGTTGAGGTCACCAACCGTTCCCTCCTGAAAATCATCAAAACCAAGCTCGAAGCTGCTAAAGGCCTTTGGGCTGAGGAACTGCCAAATGTACTCTGGGCTTACCGAACCACTGCTCGCACTCCCACTGGTGAAACCCCTTTTCGCTTAACATATGGCGCTGAGGCGGTTATTCCGGTAGAAGTCGATTTGCCCACTCCCAGGATTTTACATCCGGATCTGGCCGCAGCCGACGAACTCCACCGAACAGACCTGGACCTCGTCGAAGAGCTCAGAGAGACCGCTGCCATCAGATTGGCTTCGTACCAGCAGAAAATGAGAACACACTACAACCGCCGAGTTCGACCACGAGAGTTCTCCGTGGGGGACCTTGTCTTGCGAGAAGTGACTCTTGCCACAAAGAATCCAACCGAGGGCAAACTGGCAGCCAAATGGGAGGGGCCCTACGTTGTGAAAGCCCGACCACGACCAGGCACTTACCGACTTCAAGACATGGAAGGCCGAGACCTGCCTCATCCCTGGAATGCAGAACATTTGAAGCGTTACTACCAATAAGTTCATATTTTGTATTGTCAACATTGTTGTATTCCCCTTTCCATACATAATGTAAATCCCGACTGATGGCCTCGATTTTCGTAATTCAATTGTTTCTATGTGGCCCCAATAACTTTTCCACTTGCAGCACTTCAAAAGCCTCGGCCGGACCGAGCACTTCAAAAGCCTCAGCCGAACGGAGCACTTCAAAAGCCTCAGCCGAACGGAGCACTTCAAAAGCCTCGGCCAGACCGAGCACTCCAAAAGCCTCGACCGGACCGAGCACTCCAAAAGCCTCGGCCGGACCGAGCACTTCAAAAGCCTCGGCCGGACCGAGCACTCCAAAAGCCTCGGCCAGACCGAGCACTCCAAAAGCCTTGGCCAGACCGAGCACTCCAAAAGCCTCGGCCGGACCGAGCACTTCAAAAGCCTCAGCCGGACCGAGCACTTCAAAAGCCTCAGCCGGACCGAGCACTTCAAAAGCCTCAGCCACACGGAGCACTCCAAAAGCCTCGGCCAGACCGAGCACTCCAAAAGCCTCGGCCAGACCGAGCACTCCAAAAGCCTCGGCCAGACCGAGCCCTTCAAAAGCCTCAGCCGGACCGAGCACTTCAAAAGCCTCGGCCAGACCGAGCACTTCAAAAGCCTCGGCCAGACCGAGCACTTCAAAAGCCTCGGCCAGGCCGAGCACTTCGAAGGCCGCTGCCAGACCAAGCACTTCGAAGGTCCCTGCCAGACTGAGCACTTCAAAAGCCTCAGCCTGACTGAACACTTCAACGCCCAGCAGCACCACATTTTCAACACTTAGTCACATTCTGAAGCTACTTCACAGTTCTAGGATCACGTCTTGCCAACTAGTTAGTTACAATACAACCGAGTTAAATCCTCCATATACTCTCACGTATTTCATCTAATGATCAGATTATTTGCCAACTAGTTAGTTACAATTTACAACCTGCCTCCTACTCCACTTTTTCCATTATCTTTTCAATTTTCATACAACTCCAATCGCACTCCGCAAAATAAACATTTCATTCATGATGTTTAACTTTCACATTACACGATCTTTTTATTGACCCAATCTTTTTGACCAGTTTTAATCACAACATTTCACTCACACTGGCAGCATAAGCAAAATACACAAAATTCAACTGGCTATACATTCATCCATTACAATTAAATAATCTTTGTACACAACTTCATTACAGTTAAATTCTCCATACCTTCATTTATTCCTTTACAATGTGTTTACAACCAAAAAAAAAAATTTGCACTGATTTAAAAATCTAATGACCATAACTTGATATCTATTCACTAGAAAGATTCTCTGTTAAGTTTGGAGACATCATGTCTATTGTTCTGACAATAAAATGAATCTGATGTACCAGGTTGTTGGAGCCTTCTGGTACTTGTTCGCAATAGAAACGGAATATAGGTGCTGGCGTAAAGCATGCAAGGATCAAACTTGTATTGATGATCTCCTTTTATACTGTGAAGAAGCAAATAATGATAGATTTTCGCATCTGGATGGTTCTTGCCCTCTTCTTGAACCCAGTCAAATAAAGAACTCAACAGACTACGACTTTGGAATATTCCTCGATGCTCTTAAGTCTGGTATAGTTGAAACAAGAGATTTTCCAAAGAAATTCTTCTATTGTTTTTGGTGGGGGCTGCGAAATCTAAGGTTGGTGCATATATGATCATTTAGTGATTGAGCTATTCTAGTTTAGTGTTGCTTCATTCAGTTAAATTCTTGCAGATAAATATTTTTTTGGAATTCTTCTTTTTCCTTTGACAAGTGACAGGGTTGTTTGACTTCTTCCAGAGTTCTCAATATTCTCAATATTAAAATTGTAATACTCAGTTTCTATCTTTAAAGGCAAATTAAACTTGACCCCCCTCAACTAAGGGCCATTATCACTACACCCCCTCAACTAAAAAGTGCTACATTTGACCCTTTGATCTTTTGATTTGTTTCATTTCGATATCAACCTTCTGTATTTAGTTTTAAAATATATGCGCTGGCTTATATGAAAAACTGCAACCTTATTTTGGAGCGAAAGTAATTTTTCAGTTTTACTCTTTCTGCAGTTCTTTTGGGCAAAATCTCAAAACCAGCGTTTTTGTTCGGGAGATTATCTTTGCTATCTTCATTTCCATCATTGGATTGGTTCTATTTTCGTTTCTCATTGGCAACATGCAGGTAAATATTCAATTCATTGTAGCAAATTATCGTACTCATCCATATTATATTTGGTGCTGAAGTGCTAAACGATTGTTTCGCCGGCTGTTCAGAAATATCTGCAGTCTATAACCGTCCGAGTAGAAGAGATGAGGGTAAAAAGGCGGGATGCAGAGCAGTGGATGGCCCACCGTATGCTCCCTGAGAACCTGAGGGAGCGTATTAGGCGCCACGAACAATACAAATGGCAAGAAACCAGAGGTGTTGAGGAAAAGTCTTTGATTTCTAAACTTCCTAAAGACATCAGAAGGGACATAAAGCGCCATCTTTGCTGGTCTTTGCTCAGAAGGGTTAGTGCATTTCTGTGTCTCCTCTACATTTAATTAGTATTCTTCATGGTGTGAGCACATGAGTGCATTGTCAGGGACAATATATGATTTCTCACAAGTAAATCAATTAATGTATATAAAAATTAATACAAAAAATTTAAATCAACGATACAAAAATATTTTCATAATTCCCTCAATATGAGGTACATCTCGAAATCCGATTCTACTATCAATCAATAGTTTTCAAATTATTACAAATGAGACACAAATGGTCTTACAAAATCATCGTTAGGTGAATTCTAAATAATCACAAATAATCAAGAAGAAAGACCTCACTAAATAGATGACAAAAGTTTTCAAAACAGAATTGTAGAAGACCCAAATCAGATTTCGCTGAAGAAATACTCAGCAACTAAACGGAGCCCTTGAATATGCACACAAGAATCACACAACAAGCTTGATATATATATTCACCGAACTGGATTACCCAGGAAGCACTCTCTCATTGAATTAAATATGAATCAATATTAGCAGCCAAAAACCCACCGAAAACTATGTACCTAGCTGTCGCTGTGCCTCCTACTAATTAAACAATATTTTTTGGGCTTTTTATCAAAACCCTAACTGTTACCAAATAGATTATTAAATATATATTGGGATTCCAAAAGTTAGATATAATATATAAAAAATATATTATAACTAACACCAAACTAAATTAAATTCTTTTAATAAACCAATTGAGTCTTATACTCCAATAAGGAGGTATACTCAACAATTCCCTCCCTACCAACTTCCCTAATCGCCTCCAAATCCGCCACCGTGAGTGTGGATTTGTCCGCCTTAGTGTGCCACTGCTCTGACTCCACCTGGTTTAGTGGCTTTGGGGCCAATATCAAGGCCGACGCCTCCGTCCTGTACTGCGCTGCTAACTCCTCCCCATCATCATCCCCCAACGGGTCCACCCTCACGTTAACTACTTCTTCTTGTGCCATTTCTAGGGCTTGCTCACAAAACACTTCTGACGCAGACGCAAGGAAGTTGAGAGAATGCTACACAGATATGTCGCACGCCGTGAAGGAGTTGACACTTGGATATTTTGAGTTTTTGTACAAAGGTAGGTGAAACGCATTATACCCAAAACCTACGGTTTTACCCGTATTCCATGGATCCACATTAATTTTCGCCCGTTTCAAAACCTTTCAAATCAACCGCCAAAACCACTTTTTCAAAACCCCCTCGTGACCTATCTTTCATTTTCTGCTCCAACGCTTCATTTTCCCCCACGATACTGCCACGTGTGTGGCCACGATGCACTGTCCCCTCCCCTTACCCTGTCCTTTCCATTTCACATCATCACCTGGCACCACCCCCCCTCTTTTTGAGCCCCGTGCCGCCCTGGTCGGCACGCCTCACGGTCGACCCCTCCCGCTCGGCCACCCTCGCGGTCGGCACGCCTCACGGTCGACCCCTCCCGCTCGGCCACCCTCGCGGTCGGCACGCCTCACGGACGACCCCTCCTGCTCGGCCACCCAAGCGGTCGGCACGCCTCACGATCGACCCCTCCTACCCAGCCACCCTCACGGTCAGTTCCTCCCGCCCAGTCACCCTTGCGGTCGGCACACCTTCCAGTCGGCCTCTCCACTCGGTTCGCACTTCTCTTCCTTCTTACTATTCCCTTCGTTGGTCTAAAGCTGCACTCGGAAATGAGGGACTACTGACATGGATAGGCCCACAAGGCATACGGCCCACAGTAAACCACCCCAAACCCATCGCTTGGGACCAATGGCATAACCCGGTTGGCAAAGCCCAGGACAGCTGGAGGCCATCTAGACATGGAGGGCCAATGACATTCGGGCACATGGCAGGTGGGACACGGGCCACATCAGCAGACAAAGATCTGCAGAGTTATTATCACAGCACATCACCATTAATGCATCCCATCACAGCATTTATTACGACAGCACCCCCCCGCCGGAACAGAGCCTCCATCACCCTGAACAAGGTAAGCTACGGCACAGGCTTTCGGCGAAGGAAAGCACGTCACAAGAGACAGGAAAAATGATAACAAAAGAATATAAGCAAGGATAGGAGGACAAGAATAAGGTTAAGCTATCTCTCTCTCTCGATCTCTCTCTGCACAGTTTTTCTCATACTCTACTAATTCTCACACTGGAGGGTTCACTGGGGGACCACCCCGTTCCCCTCTGGGCTTGCATGCAAGTCACTTGACGGAGTCATCACCCTGAGCCAGAGTCTGAAGAGCCTGGATCGGTCCGACCCATCCACCCGGGAAGCAGAAACCTATAACCCCATCATAGATTAACCTTGCAAAACTAATATACTTGTACAAGGAAAAAGTTTTTGTCATACATAAATGTATTTCATGAATGGACATTAAAATTTAACAAATAAAATCAATATGTCCTCAAAACGACTTATTGATTTTATTTGTTAAATTTTAATGTCCATTCATGAAATACATTTATGTATGACAAAATTTTTTTCCTTGTACAAGTATATTAGTTTTGCAAGGTTAATCTATAATTGTATAGGAGTTAGTTTACTGGCCAAAAGTTTTCTCTTTCAACGTAACTGTAGAAGAAAGTTGCAACTTTCGTTAAAAAAAAAAAAAAAAAAAACTGCAATACAGAGTACAAGCGGTGAATTTGGCTTCTTTTTCTATCATGCTTCTGTTGTACTAACAGATTTTTGAGTTTTATATTATTGTGAGATTTGTGAAATATAATTTATTTTTTTTGTGCCTATTGTTGATGATCAAAATTAATTTATTTTATGCATGCCTAATGTATTCAAGACATAATTTTTCCCTTGGCTCTAGTCCTGCCTCCTGTGACTGAGACAAGTGTTTGAACATTGTGTCTTTAAGACATAATTTTTCCCTTGCCTCTAGTCCTGTCCCCGGAATACAATGATCACCCCACACAGAAATTGCACAACTTGCTGTGAGTGAAAAATCTAGAAATCCCCTAAATGTTGATTTGTGATAATGTATCAATTTTAAGCAATAAATAACAATCCTAATCAAACAATCAAGACAAATCGACACACCGATTTTACGTGAAAAAACCACAATTGGAGCACCTCCAATTGTGATAAAAAACCACGGGCAACAGCCACAAAACAATCCACTTAGAAGATATAAAGGAATTACACAGGTATACTCTCAATTACCAAGCGAATCCACGCCCGAATTAAACCAACCTTTATATGTCTCTTCTAACCCTGTCTTCACCTCAGAATTGTCTTGACGATGAGCCATTCCGGAATCCACCAAAGCTTCAGGCTCGAATTCTTCAGAATCCACCGAAGAACAACTCTCTCTTTTGTGTAGAATTAAACAAACAATCCTTTGATGTAAACTTTTAAAACCATAAGTTGAATACTCAATCAAAACATCAAAGAAAACTAGCAAAATATCCTCAGATATAAACCTTAATATCTAAAAAGAAGATCTGGAGCAGTAATCCTAGATTTGGACTGAAACACGTATTTATAGAAAAATGTCCCGCGATCTCCGCTCGAGCGTCAGATTGGCCGCTTGAGCGAACCTACACTCGAGCGCGGAAAGTTTCGCTCGAGCGGGAAAAAACAACATCCAATATTTTTGCAGGCGAATAAACTTCTGAAACTCAGGATTCTCCGCTCGAGCGTGGAAATGTTCGCTCGAGCGGACATGCAACTTTGAATGCATTTTTGCATTTTACTTCGGGGGTGCTGCCTCTCAACCCCGCCGTGGCGCTACCCTGGACCCGCCAAGGGGCGCTGCCCCCTCGACCCCTGCAAACTGACTGGGCAGCTCGATTCCCGTCATAATCAGTGAAGTGGCAATCTTGAAAGAATTAACATCACAAAACTTCTCTGCAAGGCACAATTCGGGTTGGATTCGCATATAAAAACTCATAGCCTTACTGAAATAAAAAGTGCGAAAATAAGTACAACTGAAAGAAGTTTTGTCAAACGGGATTGCCAAGAATAAAAACCTAACAGTGTGTATAGCGAACCAATTTGTGCCATGTATTGTCTCTTATATACTCGACTAGACATAATGTTTGAATCTTAAAACAAACCTTAACTTATGCATGAATACCATGAGAAGGGGTGGTATTTATAGAAGTCCTCGTGATCTTTAGACTAGCATGTCTCTTGAGTTCACATCCTTTCATATGAATGTATAGACACCATGAAGAGTTGCACCCTGTCATTCAAATGGAATCCAATTCCATTCACTTCTAAATTTTTCAACACACAATTTACTTGATAAACCCATCATCACTAATATAACTTACATAATTTAATTGAATGAATTATTCTGATTTAATTGATAAACCTATCATCACTAATATAACATATACAAGTTACTTGTGTGTATATAACTCACCCACTCAATTTTGTAGATTAATAATGGGTTGTTGTTGGAGACTACTAAGGCATCAACAAAACCTCCAAAACAAGCACATATGGGGTTTTTGATAGTCAATGCTAACATGGTATCACCATTGTAATGAAATCTTCTTTTTTTAGTTAAGTAGAATTGATGCAGAGTGTTTAGCCGTGGAGTTCCTGGAACTCATGGGCAAATAGTGTAAAGGGCAAAAGTACTAGTAAACGCGAAATGGCATGTGCTCGGAATAGTTTAAGATTGGGTCGAGACATGGAAAACGGTGTCACAATCAACACCCATTGCTTTGCCATGGTGTACGATAGATTTCGGCCTAATTCCAGTGTTTAGATAGCTAAACATGCGTTTTTGCCTGTTTTGAAAATATTTATTTTGTTAATTATTTAGTCTTAGAGAATCCATTTGAGGTTAGATTTTTTTCCACAATATTTAATTTTTATTCTAGTTTTTAGATTTGAGGTTAACTCAAATCTTTCTATTTTTGATAAATTTCATATTATATTTGATTTAGGCTTGATTAGGAAGCTTTTCATTTTCCCAACTTATTTCCTATTGTGCCCACCAAGGTTAATTTTTTCCAGCCTAAACTAGGACTGAACCCAGTGCATTCTTTCATGAGGAAGCAGAAATAGTGGTGCATTTGTTGGCA